AAGGATGTCCACCACGAACGATCCAGAATCCGACGAGGTCACGAAGTAGAACGTCAGGATTATGAGCGTGAGCGCGCACAGCATGTCGGAGTAGCCCCGCGGGCCGTACGAGGAGATCTGGTCGAAGAGGATGTCCGCCGTAGCCTGGTTGTACAGGCACACCGTACCATCCTGGAGAGGCACGAAGCAGTCCGGCTGGCTGGTGGTCGGGAACTGGTCGTAATTGTCAGCGGCCAGCTCGTTGATTTCGGTCATGTACTTCGCACACTCAGTACCGTCGTATGCCGATACGTTGATTGCGGTGGGATCGGGGCTCGCGCCGCACGGCACTTCCACCCACGAGGTGTGCTTCACGCACTGCTTGCCCTTTCCATCCTTGGAAGGATCCACGTACCTGGTGAACTTCGCCCTCTTGCACCTGCCGTATCCGCCGTGGTAGGCATCGTCCAGCACGCACCCGGGGGTCCAACCCATGTTCAGATTCTGCTTTTCCGTCAAACTGTACTGATCGGACCAGGCCGATCCCCCACCGTAAGCCTGAGTGCACAGGCCCGCCGAGTCTGCCATGCGCTGCATGCGAATACCCTCGGTGCCCCACACGCAGAACCAGACGATGCTGTAGAGGGTGGGCACAATGAGCGTGGACATGATGAAAACACGAAGGGTCCTGCCTTTGGAGATCCTCGCAATGAACGTGCCAACGAAAGGGCCCCAAGAGATCCACCATCCCCAATAGAAAATGGTCCAATCAATGATCCACTCGCTTCCGCTAGTGCCAGAACCACCGAGCCCCATGTCTTTGGTGCCGAGACGCTCCCAAGCGTCGCAATGAAATCCAATCTTCACGATGTACCACAAGTAGTAACCGGTAACCTGCACAATGTTGTCCAGAACGAGGTAGGTCTCGCCGTTCAACGCGACAACAATCATCAAGAAGGTCCCCATTGCGAAGACGCACTGTGAAAGGAACTTGATACCAGAGCCGAGGCCCATCACCACCGACACGGTCGACATGCAGGTGATGATCAGGATGATGAGGATCATGGTCGTCGTGTTTCGCTGGATGCCGAAAGACTCCTGAC